CCTCCCAAATAGCTGGGAATACAGGCGTGCACCACTACGCCCAGCTAATTTTTTTTGTATTTTTAGTAGAGATGGGGTTTCACTATTTTGGCCAGGCTAATCTCCTGACCTCAAGTGATCCACCCGCTTTAGCCTCTGAAAGTGGTGGGATTACAGGTGTGAGCCACCGATCCCGGCCTATCTGTATAATATTAATAGCAGAATTTCATGGGGATGCTGGGAATATCAATTACATGTTCCATGCATACATGCATGTTATTTACAAATTGCAGTGGGGCTTGGTGGTATGCACCTGTAGTCCCAGCTACTTGGGAGGCTGCGGCAGAAGAATCACCTGAGTTCAGGAATTTGAGTCCAGCTTGGACAACAGAGTGATACCCCCATTGCTAAAAATATTATTTTTAAATAACGAAACCCCACCCAATTGTAAAGTGCTACATAAATTATTTAGGCAGAATAAGCAGCACATAAAAAGAAGTCTAAATCATAAAAAAAAATCTAGGCTATTTAGAAAAAAGGTCAATGTTATGAAAGAGAAAAAGGTAGTAGATTGTTCTAGATTAAGAACTGAGAATTGACAAACAACACCTGGATCAGAAAGACAAACACACAAACAAATAACAACAGCCAGAAAAGCTACAAAGGATCACTTTGGAAAATATGAATTGGACTGAATCGTAGAATGGCATTATTAAATCAGTGTGAATTGGACTGAATCGTAGAATGGCATTATTAAATCAATGTGAAATGTTCTTGGGGGTGATGATATGTGGATATTCTTCTACGTTCTGTAGATGAATGTCCTTGTTCTTAGGAGACACATAATGAAGTTTAGGGGTGGAGCATCATTGTATTGGCCATTTATTTTCAAAGAGTTTAACAACAATAAAAACAAAGTGTGTTCCAGTGTCTAAATATACACAAATAGATGCACACAAATATGACAAAGTACCAAAAACCCATGATCTAGGTGAAAGATATGCAGGGATTTACTGAATAATCCCCATGCTCCCCATATTTTTCCAATGGTTTGAAAATTTTCAAAGTAAGTAGTTGGGGACAAAATTCTAGGGTAGCTAAGGTATTTACATATAATCTACATAAGAGAGACTATCATGGGTTACTCAGCCATAAATTCCACTAGTGACTTTTACAATTTTTTTCTTTTGTTATTTAGTTTTGATTTTTTTGAGACAGAGTCTTGCTCTGTCACCTAGGCCGGAGTGCAGTGGTATAATCTCAGCTCACTGCAACCTCTGCCTCCCAGGCTCAAGCAATTCTTGTGCCTCAGTCTCCCGAGTAGCTGGGATCACAGGCATGCACCACCATGCTCAGCTAATTGTTGTATTTTTGGTAGAGATGGGGTTTTTCGTCTTGGTCAGGCTGGTCTCAAACTCCTGGTCTCAAGTGATGCATCTGCCTTGGCCTCCCAAAGTGCTGGGATTACAGGTGTGAGCCACTGCACCCAGCCACACTAGTCACTTTTATTATAATTAAAAATAAGCATTGATTTTTTTATAAGCAAGCTCCCCATTTAGTACTTGTTTCATTTCTTTTTTACTGTTCTACTTAAAATTTAAAAAGGGCATAGCAAGATGAAAACACAATCTTGAGCTTCACTTTCTTTACATCTGGGTAAATTTTTT